ATTTTTCTACAATTACTTTAACATTTTGGAAAATTTTGGCTTTTGACCCCACTAATTTTATGTTTATGTTTTCATATGCCCTCATCAAGCATAATATTTTTGTTATAATATCATATATTGTCAATTTTTAATATCAAATTTATATATTACGACCCCAGTAAAAATTGTTTCTAGGTCCGCCTTTGCCTCTAATTAATAGCTACTATATACCTAGAACAGTAGATCTCTCACCTATCTCCAAGTAAGTCAGTAACAATACAGTTTTGTCCATATGTCTCCCTTGGTTCACTCAATTAATTTTTTTCTTAATACACAATTATGGGGTGACTAATTATATAATTAATTCTGACCGAATCCTATCCCGTCTTTTTCTTTACTCAGGGATACTTTGGTATACTTTAAATAATAAATCAAATTATTTAAATCGTGTGACAAGAGTAGGAAGCTCGCAAGAGACTTCCATTAGCATCGGAGCATGTGCATCGTGCTATGCAGTACACGGCTGTATTAGTGTTCTAACGGTGCCGTACACTTTACAGATCCTAGTTTTAATGACTTTAAATATGTTTGTAGCCAGTTAATCACTGCGGTTCAAAGACAATTGTGCGTTTACTGTGATAATTTTGGTTTTAATTAAATAATGCTATAGCAATATGTAATGATAGGTGTAAAATACGTTATCTATCTGTATATGGTAAATGAAATTACGTATATTGATCTATATATGGTAGATGGGTCATGGGTATTTGAAAACTACATATACTTATTGTACGTTCATTTTCATAAACCGTAAGGTACGTATACGTGGTTTTAGCTGTTTAGCTAGGCGTTAATGAACAGTCTGACCCAGTTCACGTTTTAGCAAATGATCCATATACCAACGGATTGATATATACATATTAGCCTATGGATTTTATGCATGAGAGAGAGGTTCTTTGTCTGAATAAATTTTGATAGGCATGCATGTTTAAATATTTGCGATTTTTCTAACGGTGGTGGTTGATCCTTATTTGAATGCATTTCACATTGACCACAACATAAATTTTATGGTTAGAAAAAGGATTTCTCAACCGTTGGCAGGTTAAATAATATCATATCGACATAGAAAAATGACAGTTCGTTTATTATCTTCCAATTCGAATACAATTCTACGTCCACAAACCCACATAGTTGACTTTGTGGGTCAAAGCAACGAACATAGTTTGACTATTAACTCCATTTAATAAGAGTGTCCTAGTAAGTTTTCAACATATATTTTGGTGCTAGGAAATTACTAGTATACTTTAATATAACACCATTTGATTAATAACATACATAGTTATTATTGAATTTATAATTTTGAAATGAAACCAAAAATTTCACAATTTTTTTAAAGATGCATACAGCAATTTTTACAATATCTTATTGCTTGATAACTGATAAAATCCAAATGTTAGTATAAGCTGAGATGTATGTAAAACGAATGAACAATCATCTACAGACAAACAAATATAATTCCTAATACAGAAACCAAACCTTACAAATTAATATAGTTGAAAACTCTAACTGCAAATTAGTGTTATATATCTCCGGAATTCAAGTTACAAATCTGATACACATTACTTATATTTTAGACTAATTACTAAGCCAAAGTATAGCTTTTAAAAGAATGCTAATTACTAATTAGTGGACTAATGAAAGTACTACTAGTCTATGTAAATAAAATAACAAAGAAGGAAGGTGGGTGGGTGACCGGCAGGTGAGGGAGTGGCCGTTAAAGGGAGGCAGAGATTTACAGCCTGTTTTTATTTTTCTTTCTTAAAAATGTCAAATTATAAAATAAAATATCCCCGAAAAAATTAAAGTGGTAACGATCGATCTATCTCGTCGTTTTGCGCCACGTCAGCAACTGTCTCTTTTTGGCAGTCTACTTTTCATTTATTTATTTTTTAGATCGGCAAAATATCCGAAAAATAATAATGATAATAATGGCATACAGGCTGGCTTCCTCAGTCAAAAAGTCACCGAATCGAACCAAAACCTCATACCTAACCGTTAACTTGATCCTTATCTTCATCTCCCTATCATTATTAATTATATTTAAACATTCTTCAATTATTTTTGTCTTCAGAATGTAAAGCTATGTTTAGTGCATATATCAACGGTTTAAGGGCGAGAGGTCATTCTATATTTTGATGTTGTCAACACTCGTTGCATGTGTAGAGATAGTATATTAACAATTGTAAAACTATTTCATTTACTCGTTGCATGTAGCAAGAAGCCAAGAACTTGGAGTGGTAGTGTCAACAACGTCCACTTCTTGTTCATCACACGAATGTACAAGCTTAGGCAAATTTAGATATTGAACCGACGGTCTAACGTGCTTTATTATAACCACACACATCAACACACACAAGACTGTGACATGCAACGAACAGTGTAATATATTGAAAACAGATCACAGCACTTTAGTTTATAAACAAAACAAAACAAGCTTTCGGCTATTTTTTATTGACTTCTATGTAGTCTTTTTTTTTTGCAGTTATTCTTACAAAAGCAGTATGTGTTTGCCACCATATTCTCATTGTCCATATATACTTAGTTTCTTTTTACCAAAATTTCAAGTTGATATATACACTGAAAAATCAACGTTTCAAATACAATGCCACTCTTGAATTTATATTGTTCTAGATTTTGGTTAATCATAAAGAAATAAAACATGCAAAAAAATTAAAGAAGAAGTATGGAAAAGATAAAAACGTACTAGAAGTTAACGATTCTGTGAGTGTCACAACATTGCTTTTAAATGGAAAACGAAATGATTGGGTAAAAACGCTCCACCTGTAAAACGGAGAGTGGAAGAGACGCTCCAGTACGAGCGTACTGTTTAAAGAAAACACATCTCTGAAATTAAGACCACATTAATAATATTTATTTATCATGAATAAAAGCAAATCTCAAACTCAAAGTACATATACTTACTTGACACGTGTTAATATACAGCTGTATCCCAAGTCCCCAACCGTTTTTCCTGGAAGATTCTCTGCTCTCCACGCTCGATGTTAACCTCACACAGACGCTGTTTACCCCAAACGCACTTTTCAATCGCGGACGCGGTTTTTGGTTATGATATAGATATATATACCGAATGCTCAATAACTCATTTTTCGTTATTCAAGTTTAAACACTTGATTGATGAAATTTATTAAAATACATTGAAAGACTTGCCTAAATAATCAATAAATTGAACGCTAAATTAGTTAATCCATCAAATCTGTTTTGACTGAATTAGTCAAGACCGTAACGATTAGTAAGTTAGTAACGACCATATTTATCCGTTTAACGCTGATAAAATTACAAAACGGTTTTCTTTGTTTCCTTAAATAAGTTAGATATTTTATTCAGTTAAGAAATTCAAAAGATAACACATATCCTAGCAATAAACTGCAGAATTTAACTACTTTAATAATTTTTTTTCCCTATTTATCGATAAGAAAGATTACGGGTTGAACCGGTAACCCTTTTGCAACTCCTTCTCGTATAAATACTCTCTCTTCTTGCTCTTATCCTCTTAAAACCTTTTCTTCTCCCAACAAAAAAAAAAACTCCTAACGACCAAAGAAAAAAACAAACAGAAGACGTGTTAAGAAGAAAAACAAAACACATCCGGCGATGTCAGGTCCAAGCCGAAAGAATATGGAACGGATTAAAGGTCCATGGAGTCCAGAAGAAGACGATCTTTTGCAGAGTCTGGTGCAGAAGCACGGTCCAAGAAACTGGTCTTTGATCAGCAAATCGATCCCTGGGCGGTCAGGCAAATCTTGCCGTCTTCGTTGGTGTAACCAGCTCTCTCCGGAGGTCGAGCACCGTGCTTTTACGGCGGAGGAAGACGAGACGATAATAAGAGCACACGCTCGGTTCGGTAATAAGTGGGCAACCATCTCTCGTCTCCTCAATGGAAGAACCGACAACGCTATCAAGAACCATTGGAACTCGACGCTCAAGCGTAAATGCAGCGCCTTCACATCTGAAGGACAGAGCTGTGACTTCGGTGGAAACGGAGGGTATGACGGTAACATAGGAGAGGAGCAACCGTTGAAACGTACGGCGAGCGGTGGTGGTGTGTCTACTGGGTTGTATATGAGCCCCGGGAGTCCATCTGGATCTGACGTCAGCGAGCAATCTAGTGGTGCTCCGCACGTGTTCAAACCGACGGCTAGATCTGGTGCTGTGACGGAGGTGACGGCGTCAACGTCCGGTGAAGATCCGCCGACTTATCTAAGTTTGTCTCTTCCTTGGAATAACCGTTGCGAGACGGAGACGGTTAGAGTCAACGAGCCAACTCAAATAAACGAGAATACGGTTATGGACGGTGGTTACACGGCGGAGCTGTTCCCGGTTAGAAAGGAAGAGGTGGAAGAAGAGAAGGGAATATCGGCGGGATTCGGTGGTGAGTTTATGACGGTGGTGCAGGAGATGATTAGGACGGAGGTGAGGAGTTACATGGCGGATTTACAGAGAGGGAACGTGGGCGGTGGTGGTTCCAGCGGAGGAGGTGGAGGTGGTTCGTGTATGCCGCAAAGTGTAAACAGCCGCCGTGTCGGGTTTAGGGAGTTCATAGTGAACCAAATCAATATTGGGAAGATGGAGTAGCGAGAGAGAACAAGCCAAATAGTCTCTTCAAACTTTTCACTCTGTTTCTCGGGAAAATAAAAGTTTTATGGCTTTAACATGTGTATAGAGCCAAAGCCAGCAATGGTTTAGAGAGACAGAACAAGGAAGCAAATCTAAAAAATCTTTTGTAATCATATGATCTTTCGTGATTCAAAAAGGAAGCAAAAACATTTCTCAAACTTGATACGAAGAAGCAAAACACAAACAGAAGTTGAATATGAATCACGTGAAGGGAAAAAAAAATCAAACGGAACATATATATACGATTGATGTTTCACAACCAAACATATAAGTAAACATACAAACAGTTTCATGCTTCTGCATAATGACACAGACGAGCAAGTTACCTAATATGCAGTCTCTACAGAGCTTAAATTGTTGTTGCTACTGATGGATTCTTGTGAGCTTAACTTGTTTATTAGATGAGCTATGTCTTGTTTCCACGACCATGATGGATCGTTCAGGCCACGTACTGAGTTAAGGCACACGAGAAGAGTCCCACCTTCATGTAGAAGTACCTATGATCAATCCAGCAAAAATAGCCAGATTAGTAGCGTTTTTACGGTGATTAGATTCAGTTGATGGAAAACAGAGCTTTGCATACCGTTAACCACAGTGGAAGAAACCCTAAAACTGAGGGAAGAGCGGCCAAGAATATCGACGTCAAGGCAAGGGCCACGTTTTGCTTGACCTGCAACATGATAGAAACACTAGTTAAATCTGCAATCTTACATCTACAATAGGTTTTGGAAAAAGTTGATTTTCTCTTACCAATGATGTTGTCTGACGAGATTTAGCGACACAGAAGGGAACACCGGTGATGTTGTCCCGAAGCAGTAAGATGTCAGCAACAGCAATCGCGGTGGCACTCGCACGTTGAGCAAGAACAATGCCGACTGTTGCAGCTGCTAGAGCTGGACCATCATTAATTCCTTCTCCTACCATAATTAAACCTCCACCTAATATAATCACCAAAAATATTATGATTAGACTTTTGAGATATGTTTTCTGAGTGGGGGGTGACTTATGGCAAGGTAATAATCACCTGCATCTCGAGCGATGTTCTTTACATGGTTTAGCTTATCCTCGGGCTTTAGGTTACAGTAGACTTCGCTAATACCCACTGCATTTGCAACTCTCCAAGCACTTGAATCATGGTCCCCAGTTAACATCATTACTCGAAGTTGGGCCCAGCTTTTAAGTTCTGCTATTACTCCTGATACACCTGGACGTGGCTGATCTTCGAGGTGAATCAATGTTACCTGAAGAAGTTAGTTGCAAGGCTCATAAATTTCAGTGATACAGACAATTTTAAGAACTGAAATGGTCACACGAGAGAGAAGATACTGACTGTGAGGTAGGTAAGATTTTTGGGGACCAGCAAAGAAAGTAGCTGTGGCATACCTTGTGATCAACAGAAAGAGCAGCATGAACGAAATCCTTTCCGTACAAAGAAGCGTTAACAGCATCCTTGATCTGTTTAGACTCATCTTCTGATTTGAAGAGTGAGGTAATGAACTCTATAGAACCAAGTGATGCTTTTCGTAATCTACTCTCTTCAGCTACTGACTATAACAACGCCAAAAAGTTGAACTGAGAGTGAGGGCTAGAAACATACATAAACACACACTATAGGAACTAGAAGGAAAATGGAAAGCTATAGAATCTAGTACATAATACTACGTCGCACCTCAACACCGTTTACGGTAGCAGTAAGGCCTCTGCCAGGAAAATATTCGAAGCTTTCAACAAAAATAGAAGGGAGGTCTTTCCCCACACTGTGGTCTACCACAGCTCTGCAGAAAATTCAAATGTGTCAGAAGTGCCGAAAAAAGATGGGCAAAAACCAGTGCAAAAACAAAATGGGAGCTCATGATGCCAAACGTTGCTTATTATGGCACATGCCCGTTTTACTTTTTATCAAAAAAAAATTGTAATGTGAATGATTGGAGGCACATGCTTAAAAATGCATAGTTCTAGAGTTTGAGATAGTTAAATTTGTACAGCACTTGATGTTTATAACATACCTTCCAATAGGATGTGTGGTGCCCTTCTCCATAGCAGCCGCTACGGCAAGAGCTTCTTTTTCACAGTTTGGGACGCAGCAAGTTATTACGCTTTGATTATTACCTCCGTGGTGACCATAAATGGGTTCAATTGCTTTGCAAGTAAGACCGCCGGTTGTTAAGGTCCCCGTTTTGTCAAAAGCAACAGTGTGGCAAGAAGCGAGGGCATCTAGAACTTGTGCACCTTTGAGCAATATTCCCTAGAACAATGAATAACTGTTGATTAGACACTTACTTGTAACACAGTAATTACAGAGAAAAAAAAAACAGCCAATAAACTTCATGTTTCGACTGGATTTTGGAACAGAAGAGAGCTAAATAGTCGCATATGCATCATAAAAGTCGTCACAATTTCAAATATGACTCCTAAGGTTCTAAAGCAGTGAGCTTAATCTGCTAGAATAGAAGTGTACAAATATATGCTCGAAGTGGAGCAGCCCACAAGGCAAGAACAACAAGAAAGCTAACACGTAGTTGGTAAGTTCAGTTACCCAGGTTGTAGTTACACAGAGTGCTTGCATGATACCTTTTTCGCACAAGAACTAATAGCAGTAGCGTAAGCCAACGGAGCAACAGCCAAAGCACATGGTGATGCGGCCACCATAAGTCCCAATGCTCTGTAGACAGATCCTCTGCATGCTGTATCATTAGCAAGCAAAGAAAGTAAGCCAATCAATTGACCATACCAAGAAAGAAGGCAAACAAGAATAGTTTCGTATCATCAAAAATGACTCACAGTCTCCTAATTAATGGGTGTATATATATATGCTAAAAACGGAGAATTTGGTTTTGACATCTACCTGTGGTGCTGAGAAAAGGCCACTTGAACAAAAATGGACCAAGGAAGGCAATAGCAAGAGACAAAACAACCACCACTTTGCTGTAATTCTCCCCAAACTCATCCAGCCATCTTTGAAGTTTGGGTTTATTAGAGTGTGCTTCCTCTGTCAGCTGTACAATCCTGTTTAGAGTAGACTCATTCCATGCCTTCGTGGCCTGATTTAAAATTTTCCATAGAATAAGATATACTTCAAACAAAGGGAAGCCAAAGCAATACGCATATGTTTTAAATACCTTCACGATCATTCTGCCATCCAAATTTCTTGCACCACCTGGCACTCTATCTCCAGCTTTGGCCTCCAATGGTTTGACTTCCCCAGTCAAGTGCTCAATAGTTATGGTAGCACTACCTTGATAGACTTCGCAATCTACAGGAACAATCTAAATACCAAAAAAAAAGGAAAACCTCATTACTTAACAGCAACGGTTTGTAACACCACTAAACCTATAGCAGTGACATACAAAGTCACATATTTTAAAGGATTTCAAGAAATGAAAAGCTTCACAGACCTCACCAGTTCCAACCAAGATATAGGATCCAACTTCTACACTGTGCACCGGAACGCTTTTGTATGACAAATCAGAAATGTTTGGAACCTTTCCATTTTTCACTTCAATTAACAGTGCAGAATCGGGATTACTCTCTTTCAATTCCTTAACATCAACCATTGACCGACTAGTGAAAAACTCCTCCGCTGCAGAAAATAGACAAGGCAAAGGCTTAAACTCATCAGTATCTAAACACCAACTCCCTAATCCTAACAATGATCAAAGTTCTAACCGATATGAGCAAGATTGAACATGGCAAGAAGCAATCCTCCTTCAAGAGCATTGCCCATAAACACAGAAGCAAAAGCAGCAAGTGCCATCAACACATGGATGTTCACTTTCCCTCCAGCTATATCCATAAGCGCGTCGAGAGATGCTGAAACCTAACACATGAAACCAATTAATTGAGTCGTCTGCCTAAATTAAATAACTAAATAAAGAGAAGCCTTACTCCGACGAGAGGGAAGCCAACAATCATGAACGCGTTCTGAAGAGACTTAACGTAAGGTTTAGGAGCGAAGTAAGGGCAGGCGGCGGCAGCGATGAAGAGTGCGGCGGAGGAGCAGCAGAGATGAAGATGCTCCCTGAGGAAACTTGCTAATCGAACCCATCCGATGGCTTTAGCGAATCCGAACAATGCTTTCTGAGGCTTACTCTCCGCTTTCAATTCCACTGAGCAGCATCCGTGGTGGTGATGATTGTGATGATGATGCTCTTGCTCAGTGTCATGATGATGATGATCTTCAACTGCGCGTAGACGAATCGATTGACGCGGGAGACTAAGCGAGGCAGAGATCGGACGAGGGAGGGGTTTTCGATGGTGGAGGAGAAGAGTCTTAGGTGTAAGGATTGAGAGCGAGTTGACTCGAGCGAGTCGGAGAGTGGCTAAACCGCGACGGTAAGGGAATTTAGTAAGAGAGGAAGAGCTAGTGAGAGAAGCGGGTTCCATATTCGAGCTCGAGCGTCTTCTTCTTCTTCGTTCATGCCATCATTGATTCTGATTTTCCGAAAATGCGTATCAGAGTCGTCTTTGGTTCACAGTTCCTTACAGAGGAGAGAGAAAGAGAGAAGGAGAGAGAGCCAATACAATTATTCCGATCACATTAGCCACATAAATGATCTCATCTCATATACTTTTCTTTCTTTCTTTTGTTACCTTCTGTGTGAAACTAAGGCTCTGAGTATTAACATTTTTTGTGTTCAAACTGACGTGTTGTTTTGATTGAACAATCGTTGTGAAAATGTAACTTACAGTTATTAATCCATCAGAAAAAAATTGAAGGAATCCTAAAGTTACAACACAACTCGTCGGAGATTTATACCGACAAATTTATGGAGCTGGCTTTTTTTTCTTTTCTCACTCATCTTTGCCTTTGCCTTTAACATCTGAAACAACCTTATCGGATTCATATGCCGATGGTGATAACAAGAAAGTGCTCTGGTTCTTCTGAATGAACCTGTAAAGTTTTTTCAAGCGTTTGTTAATTTATACGCTAAACCAAGAAAACCAAATTGGTAGTGCAAAAGGAGAGATTAGAATATTTATATACTTACTTGAGGAAGTCTAATAGTGTTTGTTGCATGCGATTCCATGTCTCTTCTTCCATGTTTACATATGAAAAAAGCTCCGGAAATTTCACTGCAGAAAAAAGAAGACGAAATATATAGTCAAGAATCCAGACACATCAAGTTTTACTGTCTGATTAACAACTTGCTGAGACTTTTACCAAAGAGACGAAGCAAATGCTCGGCGCCATAAACAGTTGAAGGTGAAACATCATCCACGATTGCTTCTTGGTATTGTTGTCGCTCTTTTTTATACAAGAGCATCATAGGCAGTGCCTTGTCGAAGTAACACCTTATGCCTTTCAAGATTTCACCGACAGCATCAGTTATCCTGCGAAGAAATACTTGCTTCATTAAATTCTGAAAATTTTCAAAATGATATAACAAACTCTATGATTGAATTAAGGACTCACATTCCATCCTTCTTGGTTTTGAGTTCAAGGTACTTGGACAATATCTCATCGACAGTAGGTGAACGCGGAAGTTTCACAACCTAGAGTTACATAATCTTTCAAAGATTAGTACCAAGTATGTGTAGAAGCTACTTTGGTATGTAATACACACTTATGTCTCTCAAGTATGTGTAGAAGAACAGAGTAGATTGATGTACCTTGTCCTTCTGTGTAACATTCTCCCAGTCGTCAACAAGCTGTTTTCTTAATGTTGCAGGTATTTGGATCTTGAGTAGCTTCTCTGCTGATACGTTATCCTTCTAAAGATCACAAAATAATACACAAGCAACCTTATAATTAGAAGACCTGATAAACTGAACCTGTTTGTGTATATGCATCACAACATATCCATCCATTTACTGTGTTTCCAAAGAAAGTTCTTCCCAACAGGTTTAATCAATGTAGAGCTAAAGCAAGTAAAATCTCTTAAGAGTTATTTTACAAGCCTAACCTCATTGCCTGACTCGTTCTTTCGCTTCTTCCCTTTTGCAGCTGCAACAGACAATACAATCATCTATACATCAGCTTAACTCAAATAATTTTAAGTTGCATCTAATCTAAACTTCAAATAATATTACAGATATGAAATCAATTCCTTGGTAGTTGTGAGGAGTACTCTGACTTCTAGTGTGAGCGAAAAAACTAATATGCTACTTACCATTGTTTTTCGTGTCATCCTTCTCGGCCTTTGTGTCTGCATGTTTGACAAAATAATTAAAGTTAGCATAGATGGCCAAATATGTATTGTGTATACTCAAAAGAGGTCAATGTGGGAGGATAAATAATCAACTCAGTGTGTGTACATACAGGCCTCTGAGCCAGATAATGATAATATAGATAGGAAATCTTGATGATTATTCTTCTATGAACATCAATAAAAGTCAAGCCAAGCAGAAACGAAGGTTTTCTCTTACTTTTCTACTAGCAAGCATTTAACATCGTATTTGGTTAGTGAACAGCTTAAACTCACCTGCAGAGCTTCTAGTTTTTGTTTGAGCCGAACGCCCAGACTTGGTACCCTTCTCTACTCCTTGCTTTTTGTCTAGAGCCTTCTGTTTCACAAGATTCTCCTCTGTATGTTTCAACAATCTATCCGCACTAACCCATTCATCCCAGCTGTCGAGCAATACTATCATATCAATCTAAACTGTGTTTACCACACAAACCAGAATAGACATGAGAGCAGAGAGATACTCACTTTTTGTTCCAACCCTGCAGACACATATCGCAGTACCACTCAGTACTGTGTATCAAAAGCTATGAAACATGCAGCAAAACAAAAATGGGAATGCAATTAAAATAGCTAAGAGGAGAGAAGTCTCACGAGATAATGAACAAAGTACTTCCACTCCTTCTTGCGAAGCTCCACCTTTTGAATCTGTATCAGAGAAACACTGTAAATACCTATACCAACTAAGCATTTCAGCTCATTTCAATCTTAATTAAGCTAAACATGAATCCAGTAGGCAAAGCACATACGAGACATTCAAATTCAAACCTAATTCCCTCAATCTACTACGAAAACCCTAAGCCAATTGCGAAATCAACACAAGTTCGATAATATCCAGAATCAAAATCATGCAATTGAATAATCCAATTCCAAAGACTAGAGAGGGCGAGAGAGATTTAGTTTTGCCTTGGCTCCGTAGACGCGAGGACCATGGTAGGCGAGAACACGCTCTCCCTCGGTAAAGAGTCTACCGTCGTTGGAAGGCGATGCTCCACCGCTGGCCGTGTCTCCGTCACTCGCCGTGTCTTCCTTCGACGAGCTTCCCATTGCCACCGAGAAGCGAGAGAGAGAGGCACAGATCTCACTCACATCACCATGGGGGGCCGTACACGTCTTGATATGAATCTACGAACCTCTGTAACTGCCGCTGTTTCCCACGAGACTAGGGGCTGATATTGTAATTACATATTTTTTCAATTGCATCCCTCAAGTTTCAACAATAGTTCGATTTTATCTCAATTGTTTTGAAAATCGTTATTTGATCACTTGGAATTTGAAGTACTATCAGTGACAAACAAAAAAAGGAATTTGAAGTACTATATGTGCATTATAATTTGGAAAGAATAATCATATTCACTTTGTGTACATTAATGTTTATTATTACATTGCTGTTTATTATGACATTGTACGTTATGAATCAAATAACTAAGAAACAATAATCCTATTGATAGGAATGAGACAATTAATTCTTGAGTTTTCCCACTCTTCTTCCTTTGTAACAAAAAATTGTAACAAAAAAATGAAATAATTTTTAGACCTAGACAAGGGGATGTGTATTTAAAACTGGTCCGGTTTGAGCTAACGAATTGATTATTTGTGACCGGGACCGCTTGAGCTAGGACCGGATTGCTTTTCAAATCGAAACGTGTCGCTTCGGTTTATGAAATTATGACCCTTGCCTCCTGGACTCGGACCAGATTCTTTGATCGAACCAAGTGATAAGCCATCGAAGAAACCAGCCACGAGCTTTTTCTCTTCTGTCATTGTTAGACCAAGTGGACGACTCTCAACAAAAACCGAACCGATCAACATGAAAAACAGAATTGAACCCACGACACATTTGCTCATCATCATAGTTTAATTAATTTGCTTTCTCTCTTTGATAAGATATTGAAATTTGCGGTGAGTGTTTTGTGGATCATAGTAGGTAGTTATATAGTATTGTTCAAGGAGATGCAAAGTTTGAATTTTTTGTTCTTGACTAAGTCTTGAATTCAACAGAACGTGATACTTTGAATTAGGCGGCTTCCTGGTAAGTTACACTAACTGGTTTATAGAGCGTTTGTTTCATGTGTTTTATTTGAAAAGATGAAGTATAAAACAAAAGTAATGTCATCAGAAACTGAAGACTAGACAGAACATAACTTTTGATTGTTTGTCGTAAACGGCAGCTATATTTTGAAGAATTGTGGACGACCAAACATAGTTTGAAATTTCAAACTTGGTAAAGTCACACATATGGTCGCCGGTTAGGTTGTTGGTTGTAGTTGTAGACATTACTAGTAAACACAGCTAAGCAGCGAAGTGTTTGACATTCAGAAGCATTGACTATTATCTAATTTGACTATTAAAACGATATACTTGTTTATTGCTCTTTTATAACATTGTTAGATACACCAGAACCTAATAATCAATGCTTATAAAGTTCAAACACGTTGCTACCATTTTTCTTGCACGACCAATAAATAGTTCTTCTCACGTGGTTCTCCTTTCATAAACATTTAACAACCACACTTTACTATAAATTTCAGCATCTAAACTTATGATTTTTTGTTAGGTAGAAATTCATCCTATTAAAAGTCAAAACCTTTGATTTTTCTGTCAACGGTGTTGAATTACGACCGTAGTTAATACAATACAATTCGACGATGTATTTTCTTCATTTTATCACTGATTTCATAACTGACTTGTAATATGAAGTTTTGTTTTTGACTCTATAGTAATAGTCATCTTGGAAGGTCAAAAGTAATAGTTTAAGAGTCTTTATAGCAAAATTCTCACATAAATATCTAAAAATAAATATTTTAATGTAAATAATTCATACAAAAATATTTTAAAGTCTTATTTAGAATTATTTTAGTTTTTAGAAAATATTTGTTTTTATTTTGAAATAAATTATTTTATTTTGTTTTAACATACTGATGTTGATAATTTTGTAATGAAAATGCTCTAATTTTTTAAAAAATACTGATGTTGAGAATTTTGTAATGTGAATGCTTTGTATAGTACAATATCATCTCAAGTTGTTGAGCAAATGCTAGTATACTAACTTTTTTAAAGATAAATCCAATAGTATTCGACGGACCAAAATCCAACCGATTAGTTTCTTGAAAATTTGTCTACGGTGTCAAACAAACCTTGTTGTCCGCAATAAGAATTAGTGTTCATATCATCTCACCACACAAACAAAGGTTGATAGATTTCAAACGCGGGTGCTTAGCATCTTTCCAAAAATCCGCCATACCATTCGACCACGTTTATGTGGTATACTAACTTTATAAGAAGAGACTTTTTATAAAGGTACATATACTAAAATTAGTATTTCTTAATACGTAACTTTATATAGTATTTATGGATTTACCACCCATGCACTAAAGTCTTAGGAGTTGATTGGTAGAGCATTAGCATAAGCATTATGCTCTCTATTATCCAATCAACATTTGGTAAAGAAGCATTTAGAAAAGCATTTACCAAATGCAAATGCTCTTCAAATGCTCTTTGCTCAATGCTCTCATATAAAGCTTTTGGGAGAGCATTTGCATATAGAAAATATAAAACTTAACAATATTTATATAATTAATTTATTTTTGTTTAAAAATATAAACAATATTTTTATAATTAAATATAAATTTATATTTTAAAAATAAAAATAAAATTATAATTATTTTTTTAAAATAACAATATTTCACATTTAAAATATAATATAATTTATATAATTACATATATCATTCATTATTTTTTATATAACATAATATAAATTATATATTATCGATATAAACATATTATTTAGACACTGATAAATAAATTATATATTAACCTTTATGATAATTCTATATATGAGTAATTTAGTGTCTCTACCAATAAACAAATAATAATAATTTATATAAAAATTATAATTAATTTATATATAAAATATAATTAATTAATTTATTTATTTAATAATAATTAATTAAATTATAACTATAATTTTATATATGAGTAATATGTTATATCCAAAATAATTTAATATTTTTAAAAACTTTTAATTTTTAAATATAATTATATAATGAAATTCATTATTTTTAATAAAATCATATATTATTAATTTATTATATATATATATATTATTTTAAAAGTAATATATTATTTTACTAACTATTATGATAATTTTAAAATCGTATACTGCTAATGCTCTACCAATCACTTTATTAAAAAATTTAATGAAAGCATACAGCTTCTGTAGCATACTGCTTCTGCAGCATACTGCTACTGCTTTATCATCTGCTGTACCAATCGAGGCCTTAGATAAAATTAATAAATAGGGTATTTGGATGATCACGGTAAGAAAACATGTTAGATTAATAACACGTGTCTCAGATCTTTTTTTTGGGTCGAAATACTTGTCTAAAATCTTGATAGCGATAGTTTACAACACCATGGTTCGTCCATTCTTACTATTTTCATATTTGACCACTTAAATATCAACATAATGACCACAAATTCCGAAGTTTGATTAAAATAAATTTCGGTTCTACCAAGCTTTGATCATTATAAAAAAAATATAGATTCGAAGATGCAAACATTCATAGTGAAATAAAACCGAGGTTACATGTGGGGAAGTGACATTTAAAAACAAAAAAAGAAAAGAGAAATGAAATAGATAGATAAGATGCTTAGTTATTATCATGACAACTATGAAGCAAAGCTAGCGTCCGTCCATACAAGTATTTTGCGTGTGTACCACCGAATTTATCTGTCTATGTTACTGGCCCTTCTTTTCTCATACCCACGATGACAATTATGTTTTGTTCCATTTCGATTTCTAGAGTTTTTTAATTCTTTCTAGAGTTGTAATTTGTATTTTCGCTGTGTTGTGAGTCTTATTTATTTTAGTAATTTATGTTTCAAACATTAGGTAAAATATACCTCAGATTTGTCTGAAATTTTATATGTTTATTTGGAAACAAAAACAAATAATTTAGGGAAAAAGAGAAAAAAAAAATATTAAGATGTTAGACCAAAAAAAAATAATATATATATATAAAGATGCAAAGTTTATATGGCATAACTAACAAGGGAAGCGCTCTTCTATGGGAGACGAGTCTCGAGGATTCGTATGGTCAAATATATTCCGATCAAATTATTCGCGAAAGCAGGATACAAAACACGCACACTTGATCCCCTTACCTCATCCTACGTCACTCTACGCAAAGTATTCTTCCAATTTCTAGTGACCATTTTCATTTTTCAATATATCACTCGGTGAGTCGGTGATTATACTTTGATTTGGTTATTGCTATATAGCATTTGCTCAAATATAGCATTTGCTCAAACATTACTTATCTGGTTATTTCTATATATACGTGGTGAGTCGGTGATTACTAACCTTCTTGTCGGTATAAATGTTTAGATCATATAAATCATGTTATCCAAAATAATGAAAATGGCTTTCTTGCCTAACTCCACTAACAAAAGCTAACAATTTTATGATTACCAACTATTAGTTGAATTTTGATTTGGACGATTAATTCACTGAAATCTTGCGTATACTTCTGATCATAAAAAAAACACATATTCCAATGTTCACATCTTAAGGCAAAAAAGAAAAGGAAAAACATAGAAAAATTCCAACTATGACAGTATCAGAGCTAATAATTTCTGTATAAACAAATAAATATATTTAGCAGGTAAAAAACAATTAGCACTTTTCAAAAGGTCCACTTCCAAGGAAGGTAGAGACCGTCCTTTTTAACTAATTCGCCTGCACCATTCCCTTATATCGCGGGTTTAATTCTACATCTTATTCCTTCTTATATTCTCTAAACCAATAACAACAATACAATTAATAATTATTTTATTTCCAATATAAACTCCTATCTTCCTTCCCCTCCATCCTTTTTCATCTACCTTTGAATCTTTTCCTACGCGTATATAAAGCTTTACTTCCTCCTCCGCTACTCCTTTTCTATCAATCACCAAAACACATTCATTGGCTTAAACCCTAAACCCCAACCACCTGCGCTATCCCAAAAAACAAAATGAGACCCTTTGGCTTGATCTTTACGGTCATGTTCTTGGTCTCAGCCTTCTCGGAATCAAGAACTGCCGATTGCAGAGTTCTCCTTGGTGACTCATGGGAGGATATGGGTCAACCTAAGAATCATGGAGTCCATTTACGAAGTAAAGAGTTGTTAGAGGTCGTGAGACGTGGTTATAAAAGGCTACGATCGCTCTCTTCAGCTGGAGAGAGGATGCACACAATGGCTTCAGGACCGAGCAGGAGAGGTGCTGGTCACTAAAAGACTTATACACTTACATTATTTTCTTATTAGTTCATCAATATTTGCTTAGGTCAGGTTATAGTCAAGGATTTTTCATTTGTTATAGATCATTATATTTATTCAGTCGTTACAGATCAATGTAAAGTTTAGAAGGGAGGAATTATTTGATCATGATACAATAGTACGTGCCAATAAACTGAATTTATAAATAGTTTTGAGACCACGTTAACCGTGTAAATTTGACATGGATACGTTACTAATTTGTCATCAGGGTGCAAATTTGAAATACAAATGATAAAACAACATGATTATCTTATAAAGCTTTAACCAAAACTACGATCATTTCATAGTGAAAACCAGAACTATTTCATATTTTTACCAATTCATGATTCAAATTTTGATAAAATGCAAAAAAGAAAAAGAAAATTGTTCGAAGTGTTGGCCTTTGGGGTATTAAAAGGTTGAGAGCCGGAAATGGAAAGCTATACACTTAGACCATGTTTAACGCAAGGAACTAAAGGGTTTCTTAAGCTTAATTGATGATTTAATTAAATGAAAAGAAAAGAAAAACCATATTACCGATCCTTAATAGGGGACTTTTGATATCGACTTTACGGTGGTTCTTAAAACACGTGTCGGCACCATATTTTATCTTTTCTTTTCAAAATTTTTTCTCTCTTTCTTGGCTT